GTGCGTGCGTGTGTACAGAGACAGCATCACCTGACACTCCTACTCCTAGACTTTTTTCCTACCCCGAGGAGCTATTAATTAATACTCATCGCTGGGTTATTATCCTCGGAGATAACGAGCTACTGTTCCTAACTGGGTAACCGGAGTCCCGAGGGGACATTTGCTAAAGAGATCCATCCACTTCCGCCCACCCAGCCCGTGCTCTCCCGGGACCCAGGCAAATGTCCCCGAGCCCGGAGACCCAGGGCGGGAGAGACTGGGTGAAAGCGGCCTGTCCGTAGCGGAATGAGCAAAGGTCTCGTGCGCGGGAAGTCGTTGTAAAAACACCAGCTGTGATTATTCCAGAAGACGGACCAGTGCCTCCTAAGGAGCCAGCGTGTTTGCAAGGGCGAGTTGCCACCTCGGCTGAAGTGGACCAGTCGGATCCAAAGGCAGACACCGAAAGGGCAGCAGGAGGAAAGGCTGCGGCCGAGGGGTCCTGGTCCAAATGCACCACGTTCAGATCTTCGCACATGCTGTTCCCCCAGCCGGGAACACACTCCTGCCACGTCACCCTGCTCACTCGTCCTTATCCTTAGGTCTCGGTTTTATTTTACTCTTTTTGGAGGCAGAGTTTTGCTCTGTCACCCCAGCTAGGGGCCGTGGGGTCAGCCTAGCTCACAGCAACCTCAAACTCCTGGGCTCCAGCAATCCTCCTGCCTCAGCCTCCCCAGTAGCTGGGACTACAGGTGCACACCATCAAGCCCAGCTAATTTTTCATAGAGACAGGGTCTCGCTCTTGCTCAGGCTGGTCTCGAACTCCTGAACTCAAGTGATTCTCCTGCCTCGGCCTCCCAGAGTGCCAGGATTACAGGCGCGAGCCACCGCTCTGGGCTTAGGTCTTAGTTTTAGATTGTGGCCCCTCCTCCAGGAAGCCTTCCTTGATTTGCCCCTCTTTCCTCTACCTACACCGGGTCAGGTGACTCCTCTGGGTCCCCACAGCACCCTGTGCCTCCTACATCACGACTTTGTTCACTCTGAGCAGTGATTGCTGGGAGCGTAAGTCTTGCCAGCTAGACACTTTTGTTCGGGATTATGACTCGTTCTCCTAGATCTACTATTAAGTCAAAGAGCTTGTTTCACAAGGGGTGGATAGAACGCTGCCTTATGGATTAAAAAGAGACAGAAGACACTACACTCTTATTAAGTGGCTAAAAAAAGCCCACAATGTGAACCGCTGATAAGGACACGGCCACTGGAACTCTCATCTCCCGCTCACGGGAATTGCACTTTGCAAAATATGTTTGACAGTTTCTTGCGAAGTTAAACACGCATTTACCATACGACCCGGCCGCCCCACTCGCAGGCATTTACTCTAGAGACGTGAAAATGTATTGCCCACACAAAAGCCTGCGGGTGAATATTTATAGCAGCTTGATTCGTCATCTCCCGACACTGAAGATGTCCCAGAACCCAATGTCCCCAAACTGGTGAAATGGCTAAACAAACCGTAGTCCGTCCACATAATGGCATACTACTTAATAATAAAAAGGAACCGACTCCAGTGTCACACAATGACATGGCTGAATCTCGAGCGTGTTGTGCCGAGAAGCCAGGCACAAAAGCCTGCACACTGTCTGCTTCCATTTCCATGAGATTCGGGAAAAGATGAACCTGTAAGCTTAGCTCAGATCAGAGTTGCCAGGGGCTCAGGCTGTGGGAGGGGGAAGGACAAAGGGGCACAAGAGAACTTTTGGGGGTGAGGGACCTGCTTCGTATCTTGATTAAGGTGGCGGCTACACATGTGTCTACATTTATAGAACCGGAGACCTAAAATTTATAGAAGTGGACATCTAAAAATACTGATGTTGCCATTATGTAAATTGTGCTTCAACATTCCTGACTCAGGAAAAGAACTGTTGCAGGGCTTGGTGGCGTGTGCCTGTAGTCCCAGCTGCTCGGGGGGCCGAGGCAAGAGGGTCGCTTGAGCCCAGGAGTTCGAGGCTGCTGTGAGCTGTGATTGTGCCACTGCACTCCAGCCTGGGTGACAGAGCAAGACCCCATCTCTACACAAATAATAATAAAGGTTTAGAAATAATGGAAAATAATTCTCGAAAAGGCAGCATGTTGGGGACAGAATGTAGAAGCTTATGTATGCGTGACACAGCTCTGGAAGGGAACAGGGAAGGGAATGGACAATTGACAAGAGCTTAGACCTCGGGGCTGGCAGATGGGGACTCCCATCCCAGCCCCCACATGCCTCATTGCAGTCCTTGGGCACGTGCTCCCCCTCTAGCCATCTGTAAAATGGGGCGTATCATGTCTGTCCTGCAGCCTGGAAGAGTTGGCAGGAAAATCCCAGCATCCTGGGTACAAAGGTGTTCTCTGCTCTTCTGTTCCTTTAGCCCAATGTTTGTCCTTCAAATTTTCCCACGACTGGCTCATTCTCACCAACTGGATCTCAGCTCAAATGAGGCCCTCTCTGACTGCCCAGGCTAAAGTAATGCCCCCCTCACCGGCTGCTCAGATTCTACCTCAGGGGTCTGCAAACGACAGCCCTCAGGCCAAATGAGCTACTGCTGTTTTTCAAAGTTTATTTTATTTTATTTAGAGACATAGTCTTGCTCTGTCAACCTGGGTAGAGTGCAGGGGCATCATCATAGCTCACAGCAACCTCAAACTCCTGGACTCATGCGATCCTCCTGCCTCAGCCTCCTGAGCACCTGGGACTACAGGTGCATCATGATGTTCAGCTAATTTTTTGTATTCTTTGTAGAGACAGGGTCTTGTTCTTGCTCAGGCTGGTCTTGAACTTCTGAGCTCAAGCAATCCTCCTGCCTCAACCTCCCAGAGTGCTGGGATTACAGGCGTGAGCCACTGTGGCCAGCCCATAAATCAAGTTTTATTGGTACACAATCATGCCCGTTCATTTATATATTCTCTAAGGCTGCTTCTGAGCTACAAGGCTACAGTGGAATTGTCACAACAGAGACAGTGTGGCCTGTAGAGCTGAAAATATTTACTTTCTGACCCGTTACAGAAAAACTTTGCTGACTTGTGCTCTGTCGGTGTTCTTCATAGCTATGTGATCATTTCACTACATGAAATTATCTTGTTCTTTTATTTGCTTGCTTGTTTGTTGTTTGTCTTCTGCACTAAATGGAAGACAAAAATCACATCAGCTTGGCTTCCTGCTGTATGCACATAGCAGCCATTCAAAAAATATTTCTTATGGAGTGAATGAACACATAAATGTAGGCATGGGGCGCACATATCTGGCCATGTTTTTCTAGAATGTTGCAGGAGGAAGGAACTGAAGAAATCCTCTAAACAAATTCGTATTGAACAAAAGAGGGCCCAGACACTGCGTGCCATGCACACCCTCGTAGCAGACAGTAAGTGAGCCAGATCTCACGGGTGAGAAGAGGATCCTGGGGTCTAGGAGTCATCTTCTTACTACAAAGCCCACTTCTCCGCAAAAGAGACAAGAAACACAGGCCAGGTAACCACAACGCGTGATCCTGAATAGGATCCCAGCTTGGGGTGGGGGAAATGCCTTAAAGGACAGTTTTGTTTTTGTTTTTTTGTTTTTTTTGAGACAGAGTCTCACTTTGTTGCCCAGGCTGGAGTGAGTGCTGTGGCGTCAGCCTAGCTCACAGCAACCTCAAACTCCTGGGCTCAAGCGATCCTCCTGCCTCGGCCTCCCAGAGTGCTAGGATTATAGGCATGAGCCACCTCGCCCAGCCTAAAGGACAGTATTGAGACAACCAGTGACATTGAAATATAGACTCCGAATTAGACAGTGTGGCAACAATTTTATCAGCACATAGAGGATGGGGATTTAAAAAGAGACAGTAGTGTTGTAACAATTTTAACTTTGTGGGTGTAAACACTGTATTATGGTTACATAGGAAACTGTCCTTGATCTTAGTGGCGGATGCATGCTGAAGTATTTAGGAATGAAGGGAGAGTGTCTGCAACTTACACGGTTGGGAGAGAGAAAAAGACAGAGATCTGTGTAGAGAGAAAGACAAATTTACAGCAAATGTGGCAAGATGTTAACAACAGGTGAGTGAATCTAGGTAGAAGTGGTTTGGGAGTTCATTACTCATTTGCAGTATTTGTGCAACTTTCCTGTTTGTTGGATTTATTTTATTTATTTATTTTTTTAAGACAGAGTCTCACTCTGTTGCCTGGGTTAGAGTGCCATGGCATCAGCCTAGCTCACAGCAACCTCAAACTCCTGGGCTCAAGTGATCCTCCTGCTTCAGCCTCCTGAGTAGCTGGACTACAGGCATGCGCCACCATGCCCAGCTATCTTTTTCTATATATTTTTAGTTGGTCAATTAATTTCTTTCTATTTTTAGTAGAGACGGGGTCTCACTCTTGCTCAGGCTGGTTTCGAACTCCTGACCTTGAGCGATCCTCCCGCCTCGGCCTCCCAGAGTGCTAGGATTACACGCGTGTTTTTTTTTCTTGTTCAAAATTAAAAGGTTAGGGAACAAAAGGAGAAGACCCAATAAACAAGCCATTTCCAGGCTGCCTTCCCATTTTTTCCTCTTCCTTTTGTATTAATAACAAGCTCTCTGACCCTCTTTCAGATCTTGAAGCCTGGACTGGTTGGTGGCTTGCATTCATGTATCTGGCCCCCGTGCTCTAGTACGACAAAAGTTTCTTGAGCAAAAAGAATGCGCGGAACATCTCAGAAAGAACAATAACTACATTATTGGAAAACTTAACTATCTATGGACATTATTTCTAATGCTATGCCATGCCACACTGGAGCCCAAAGGAAAAGGCCAAACCAGGAAGGCTGATCCGGTCTTTATTTAAAATTGTGGTATTTTGTTCATAGTGGATTTTTGCATACATTTTGATTTCTTAAAACATTGCATTAAAATATTATTTATTTGGATTACTGAATTTTGGGGTGCCCTTTTAAATTTCATACCTGAGGTGGGTGCTTCTTTTGACTCCCACTGAGCCCTCTCCTGATTTTTTCCAACATATCATCCACACCATATCATGAATTCCTCATCACAATACTCTGAGAAGGTACTACTATTATCCCCACTTCAGAGTTGAGGCAACTGAGGCACAGAGATGTTCAATGGGGCCCAACATCCCAAAGCAAGTAGGAGAACAACCTAGATTTGAACCCTGTGCTTGTTAGTTTTTTGGTTCAGAGCCTGCCCAGTCAAACACTACCATAAAAGTAATTATGACTTAGGTTTTGAGTCAAGGAATCAAAAGATCCAGGTGGAAGTCCTGCCTCTGCCCCAGGCTCTTCAGAGCTGTCTGCTTTCTCAGACTCAGTTTCCCTATGTGGAACTGGACTTGAATATCCTCACCATTCCTTACTGTCTCTCAGCACAGTTGGCCAGGTTTCTCTTTCCTGACTCAGTAATAGCACAAACTGGGAATGAGAAGGAGTAGATGCCCACCAAGACTCCTGAACTAACTGGGAGCTCAGGGACTCAGGACGGGGTGAGACCTAGTGGGTAGAGTCAGGGGACCACAGTGGGTGGTCCCCTCCTTACCCAAAAAAACCCTTGCTCAGTTTTTGGGCAGATGCCAGACTTTTATTCTGAAGCCGAGGCCACAACCTATGAGGTAATCTTTGGAGCTTCGTTCAGAGGAGGAATCCCATTGGCCAGGTAGTGAAGCCCCTCCCAGGGTTCCCGGTGCCCCGCCTTCCCAGAAGCCCATAAAAGCGCACGTACCCCGCCTGGGCAGCCACCGGACACCTGCATCTGCCAACAGGACTGAGAGCAGGTGAGGCGCACGGGCTGGGGGGAAGGACTCCAGATGTGCTGGGGGAGGGGTGATCTAGGGGACCTGGGCCCCCGGGGAGGGGGGCGCTAGTTCGCAGGGCAGTGCATGGACATTTTCCCAGAAAAGGACCCAAACGGCGAAGTTTGATCATCTGCAAAGCAGGTATCAACCAGCGTGGCTGCCTGGGGTGGTAAGTTCCGAGGACATGCCACGGGTTGGGGAGCAGGTGCGAGTCCTAGTTTCGACCTCTCTGTGTCGCCCCTCTCGCCATTCTGAAGCCTCCCCCCATCCCCGGAGAAGAGACTTGCAGGGGAAAGAAAACTGTGTGGGGGTGGGGGACCCGGGGAAGAGACAGGCAAGTTTGCTTCAGCACCGTGGACAGCTCCCCACCGCCCACGGAAGGACGTTGCTATTTATTTCAGCACCGGGATGCCGGACAGCGCCTCTCGGTGGCGATGACCGCGACCTGCTTCAGCACCCGGTCTCCGGACAGCTCCTGGCGTGGTCCGTTTGGGCGCCAGAACCCTGGACGGCTCCCGGGGAACCCCTGAGAGCCCTTTTAACCCCGATTTGGGGGGCAGGGGGCAAGGGAGAGGATCACTTGAGGTGTCTGGCTTTTCTGGAAACTTGCCCCTTGTTTCATGAATTTTTTAACGAATTCTTTTCCAGATAAGCAGGTGAGATACAAGCACACACAGAAGTCTGCCACTGGCAACAGGTAAGATGGACAATTGGGAAGAACAGGTGTCAGGCCAAGATGACATTACTGTGCCCTTTCTGAACTTTTTGAGAAACAGTGTTGCCAAGTGTTTTAAGTACCTCCCCCATCGTGCCATCTGCAACCCTAGGACATTTGAGGAAACTGAGGCCCCGAGAAGGGCAGAGAAATAACTATGCAAATTGTTCTCGGCCAAAGGGTGAAGCTGTAAGTCGACCCCGCAGCAGTCCAGCTCCAAATCCCACGTCCCCGGCGTGCCCGGGTGGGAGTCGGGCCCTTGGAGATGGGACCCTGCCTCTCTCCAGGAGAACCAGGCGCTTGGCTCAGGTGAGCAGAAAGGGCTGGGTCAGGGTCTCAGATGTTGGGGAGAGAACAGGACAGAACACTCGAGTGGCTGTGGTCTGGTGCTGTGTGGAAGACTAGTGATTTTGTTGTTCTGATATACTATGACAACAAGTCACAGCCGGCCTCATAGCGCAGACTCCTGTCGACCTTCGCCTGAAGTGGACAAGCCAGTGGGTGGGGGGGAGGGGGGAGGGGGGAATCGCTTCCCCCAAGGGGTTGGGCTGGCTAAGTCCTTGGGGTACAGACACAGGCCGTGGAGGGACTCCAACAAGGGCACCCCATGAACGTACTGCCATGTGCCGCGCATGGTGTTGGCCGCCACAGGCCTGGAGGCACGAAACATCTGACTCCAAACCCAAGGCCCTTAACCACCTCCTCACGCTTTCCTGGGGGAATCGAAGCGAATGGCATTGAATGACCAGCGTTCCGAGGGTCCTCTTCAATAAAAATTCCAGAAATGATTTTTTTCCTCTCCTCCACCCATCAGTTCCATGGATTGATCGCAGGACAAGTGTGAACTTGTGTCATCAGCGAAACTCACCCCCAATTCTCTGCAGCACCCTAATCGAGCCACAGACTCCACGTGGAACTCATTCCAGCCCCAGGACCTTGGCTTCTGCTTCAGCTTGGAATACACTCCCCCACCCCCACCCACAGCTCCCCGGGCTGACCCTGATGTCTTATCCAAGTGTCGTTTCATCCAGGGGAACATTCCTTGTTGCTCCATCACTCCCCTGAGAAGTCTACACTCACATTCTCACAGACCTGGCATTCTGTGTCTGCTGCATATAGTCTATTCATTCTCACGTGATCGGTTTCCATGTCTGTCTCCCTGTCACGCCGTGAGCTCTGCAAGCACAGTTTGTATTTTCACGGTTGTGTCCCCAGCACCCAGTCCAGGGCCTGGTATGCAGTATGCATTCAATAAACATGGGGCTGGATCAATAAATACCTCCAAGAATAAACCCATATGTCAATCGATAAACACATTGATGCCTTACACATACACATGAAGATCCTTTTAGGTCTCCCCCACAGAGATACCATAGGGTGATCGTTGCTGCAGGTGTTTATTGGGAGAGTATAATTAAATTTGTGGACACTCAAGGGCCAGCCAGCCAACTAATAGCCCCAGGAGAGAGCCAGGCTCATTTAATTAGCAATTACAAGGCATTGATTCCTCATTAGCTCCGGCAACCCCCGTCTCCCTCCTTAGCTCCAGACAAATGAAATCTTTCTCCCTCCCAGGAGTACTGCCTCAGTGGGTCCATTAACAAGCTGAGAAAATAAGATTATAAGACACCTAAATGCCAGAGGCGCTTCACGAATGGGGTGGGCAGAGGGAGGTTCAATGTCTGGGTTAAGTCTAATTGTGGGAGATCGTCTGATATATTTAGAATCGCCCTCCGGGAATAGGAGAGAGCTCAGAAAGGAAAAGGCACAAAATACCACTTTGGGGGGCCCCCAGGGTAAGAGGAGATTTTGCTTTGGTTTTTTCCCATTCCCCCCAATTTATTCTTTTCACGTTAACCCCCCATTCCCCCCGGGCCCCCTTGGGCCCCTCCCCCTGTGTCCCCATCGGTGTGGCAGCACCTTAGCCAGGTATGGACGCACGTGCTTGGAGGTTCAGCTACCCAGGAGGCTGCGGCGAGAGGATTGCTTGAGTCCAGGAGTTCAAGACCAGCCTGGAAGATACAGCCAGATTCTGTCTCTAAAAAGATTTTTTTTAATTTTTAAAAGTGTGGCAGCCCCTCCACATCCCAAAGACCCTCCCCTCCTCATGCACACCCCACGTTCCCTGAAGCAAGTCATCCTGGTTAAATCCATTCTCTCCCCTCCAGCCCTCTCTCCTTGTGGCCTCGGCCTCACCCCCAGCCCAAACACACACAGCGAGGGGACCTTCTAGGGTACAAATCTGATCAAATCCCACTCCTGCCTTTGACCCTTCCAAGACTCCCCACGACTGCAGGATAAAACTCAAAAATCCCCACACAGCTACCTGATCTGGTCCCTGCCTGCTAATGGTCCCACCAGTTAAACTCAACCACTGGCCCAGCCAGGACTACCTGTTGCTTCGATTCTCCCCCTTTAGTGTGAGGAGGATGCCCCCGAGAAGCTGAGAGGGAATGCAGATTCCCAGGACCCTCCACGTTTCCATAAGGCACGGGTGGGGCAGCCCAGGAACCTGCATTAGGACTCGCTTCCTCACCCACCGATTCTTATTAAAGCCACGCCTACCATTTATTTCTCCCGAAGACCCCTGGGCAGGTCCTCATTCATCTCACCGGCTTCACCTGTGTACCCGCCCCATGCCCAGCTGAGTGCTGGAACACAGTACGTATTCACTTTGGGAATAAATGCTTGTGTTTGAGCCCTGTCACCTTCCTCAGGCTCAAAATCAAGGAGGACGCCTCCCCCCCCATGAAGATGAACCATGACCCACGAAGAGCCAAACAACCTGCCACCCGCCCTGGACATCCCAAGGACCCAGCTTGCAGCCGCACGCCCAGGGGCCACAGAAACTAAAAAGGCAAATGCAATTCCATCCTTGTCCCCCTGGGCTTTGCTGCTACAGCTGGTTAACTTGCCAGAGGAACACGTGATGCCTTATGTCCTCTGTCTTTTTGGAAAAAAACAGAGAGAGAGAGATCCCCTCCTACCCTGCAAAGACTGCAATTAAATTCTGATGTTAACAACCCAGAGTTAGTGTCAGAATCCACAGGTTGGCCAGGTGTGGCAGCTCATGCCTGTAATCCCAGTGCTTTGGAGGCTGAGGCAGGAGGATTGCTTCAGGTCAGGAATTTGAGACCAGCCTGGACAACATAGCAAGACCCCATTTCTACAAAAATCTTGAAATTAGCTGGGCATGGTGGTGTACACCAGTAGTCTCAGCTACTCAAGCAGCTGAAATGGGAAGATCACTTGAGCCCAGGAGTTGGAGGCTGCAGTGAGCTATGATGTCACCACGGCATTCCAGCCTGGATGACAGAGTAAGACTCTGTCTGTAAAAAAAAAAAAAGTAGGTCAGGACTGTTGAAAGAATTTTTGAATGAAAAAAAATAAAAATTTTAAATATTAGATTTTTTAAAAAAAAGAAAAAATAAAATTTATTTTTAAAGTATAGAATTTTAACTTTTAAAATTAAAAAATATATATATCCATAGGTTAAAGTCACAATCCCCAACAAGACTGTCCTCACTCGGACACTAGAGGCTCCAGTTACAAGTTCAGGGGTACTCAGGACACCCACACTTCTGACCAACTGGCTACAAATTCAGGGTTTTCCACAAATGTCCTCAGGTTTGGTAATTGACTAGGTATGACTCAAGAATCTCAGAAAAGTGCTGTACTGACTTATAAAGAACCAACTTTATACTTACTTACAAATCTGGACCAGAGAAATGAATGTACATTTAAGGTGAGGGTTAGGAAGATCTCAAACACAGACCTCCCATGTCTTCATCCCATGGAATCAAGACATGTCACCTTCCTGACATATTGTGTTCACCAGCCAGGAAGCTCTGGTGAACCTTGAAGTCCACAGTTTTTATTGGAGTTTCATTACATAAGCATGATTGAATCATTGGCCACAAGATTAAACTCAATCCCCAATGTCTTTCCATTCCTGGCAGTCAGGAGGTTGGGCTGATATTATGGGGCTCAAAGCCCAAACCCTCTAATCACATTCTATTAATAGCATGACCAGCCCCTACCCTGACTCATCCAGCATAAATTCAGGTGTGGTCCAAGCCCCTCTTGTAAATAACAAAGACATTTTTATCATTCAGGAAATTCCAAGGGCTTAGAAACTCCCTTCCTGGAACCCAGGACAACGACCAGATAAATTCTTAATTACACAACATATTCCATGATAATCAACAGGTGTTTGTTTCCAAAAGATTGGGTCACCATAGCAATTGGACATGGAGACGGGCTCTGGGGCCTCTAGTTTGACCCAAATGAATCTGAATGGAAACCAATAAAACCAAGCACATTTCTCTATGAGCCAGCATTCACGGTCATGGCTTTTCTACTTTGGGGTTGGTACAAAAATGGCAACAATGAAGAAAAATGAGGAGGAAGAGGAGAAGGGGGGAAAGTCTATCCCTTAAGTATGTGGTTGAGGTGACATCGGCCCATTTGTAAAGACCATAAACCAATGCATGCCACTTCTGGTTTTCTGGGCAGAATTACCTGTTCAAAACTGAGTCCACTTGCTGTACTCCCATAGTTAAATGGGCACCATCTTCTCCTTCGTCCTGTAGGCCAGCTGTATCTGAGACAGCCCACCCCTTACATTCAACTCCAGAAACCTGTTCTCTCCCCAGCCCCAACAGATATGATAAACATCTCATCTAAAGGCACAAGCTATTGAGCTACCCTACCACATTTAGTCAATGTCCAATTATCTTAATTTATGATTTAACCAAAGCAGAATCTGAGACAAGAGCCCAGCGTGTGGTTTATTTGGAAGACGATCCCAGAAAATAGGAGTGAGGGGACTGGGAAAATGAGCCAAACAGGAAGGGAATGCCAACATACAGGGACATGGTCAAGTTGCTCTAACTGAGATTCAGCGTAACAGTGGCTAAACAACATGGAAGTTTACTTCCTTCCGTTTGACCCAGCAATTCCATGCTAGATCTCCACAGAAGAGAAATGAATAACTATTTTCTACAGAAAGAAGTGTACAAAATCATTCGCAATGGCTTTATTCATAATAGCCAGAACCAGAGACTAGATAAATATTCAGGGAGAAAAGGAGCAAAGCGATGAGGCATAGGGTTAGATTTAGGGTTAGGCACAGAAAACTGAAAAAGTCCTGCTGAACAAAAGAAGTTGGACACAAAAGAGAATGTACAACATGATTCCATTTATATGACATTTGGTAATTGTTGCTAGAAATCAAAAGGTTGGGTACCTCTCGGTTGGCTAGGAATGAACTAAAGGGAACTGTCCGGGGTGCTGAAGTTTTCTCTCTCTTGCTTAGGGTGATGCCTACATGGATGTCTATAATGGTCAGAACTCTTCAACCTGTACATCTAAGGTCTATACATTTTACTATATGAAAAATTAAGGTCAACTTTTAAGTAAAAAAAAAAAATACTTTTACTTTATGTCACACAACAGTCTGAGTGTATGCAATTCAGAGCCCAGGCCCCTTCCAGATCATTGCTCCTCCATGATGAGTTTTACAGTCATCCACATGGTTCCATGTGGAGCACCATTTATTGAGATATTGTCTTTGCTTTGGGAGGCCAGATGGACTCAGCTAAAACTTGGAGATTCTTGTGCTGAGGGAGAAGGAAAAAAAAAAAAAACAACAGTTATTGAGGCCAACTCATGATCTCTACTACAGATCTCTCAAACAGCTGGAAATATGTTGTTCACATTTTCCAAGCCAGCTTCCAGATGAGACCTCCTGGGAGGCTGCACCCCAGGCGTAATGTTTCGGAACGGAGACATACGCTCCTTAAAAGGGAAAACTTATGCATGGACGATATGCCAGAGCTGGGAGGCAGAATGGCCTGGCTGCTGATCTAGCACCCCAGAGAGACAGACAAGGACAGGACAAACACAGCCCACCATAGAGGCGACACTGTTACAAAAACTACAAATACTTCTGGGAAGATGAGGGGCTTGAAAATATGGAGCTATCCACTCAGGAAATGTTACAGGAATGAAATGGCTGAGAGACTCGTGGAGAGCTTGGGAGATCTTGTCTTTGACGCACGATTTGGGTTGAAAGTTACAATTAGCTAGCCTTGGTCCCTGACGGATGGTTTGCATTATAATAAGCTATTCAGGGATGGCGAGGGCCAGAGAGCCGCTTGCCCGTGTCCTCAGCACCTGGCCAAGTGGATGCAGGAATAATCGCTTCTAGTTCTTCCATGAGATTAGAGACCTTTACAAGGAACCGTTGTAGAGTAGGGAGGGGAAGGGTGCTGAACAGGGAATGTAGG